AGTTTACAGAGAACATTCTGTAGTAACCTCAACTATTGTAGGGCTTTGACTGTAAAGCTTTGTATTTTGGTTCCTGGTTACTATGTACCAACTATTGCTAAAGACTGTTCAGGATAGATAGTATGTTCTTTAGTTAATACAAAGGCTGTTTGCAGCATGGTCTGAAACCACTGATTCCCTAGACCTAGAGATTAAATGTAATTTAAGATGTGAAATAGTGTCCTAGAAAAGAAATTATAAACTCATAGTGTGACACTGTAATTAAATATGGAAAAACAAAAAGATCTGAATGGAAACACTCACATATTACTGAGCTAATAAACCTAGCTCAGGCGTAAAAGCTCCTAGGTCCGTAAGGCGACTTTTCCCCTTCTTTAAAACGCTTCTTTACCGCGTTGCAGCTAGGGCTCAAGCAGAAAGAACATATGGTGCAGTATGATATGGAACCAATATCATATGTATATCATAAGTATATATACTCACAAATGTGGAGCCACTCTATAGGCTCTTATCCAGCGCGTTATGTAGTTAAGGACTACACTCCTATATAGCAGGAACCAATAGCCCAATATAGAATCAAATATTTATTGTAAAAATTAAAAATGTAAGTTTAAAATTCCAATGGCCAATTAGAATCTATAAAAATACAATACATACACATATGTATAAAAAAAAGGGCATAAAGGTGGTATCTAAAAGTCACCAGGACGCGTTTCGCCAATATTCTATCGGCTTCCTCAGCTGGGTGTAAAGAGCAATACCTTCTTTCTCCTGCTCGGAGACCTGCTATATACATTGTCCATGATTGAAAAACGCCATTCAGCTGTCCTTTTTCACGGGCTGCTGGAAAAAAGCCAAAAAGCTATTATTCTCAAGAGTGGAGAGTTAAGTGGTTTGGGTATAACCACCTACCTTAAATAGGGGGGGTGGTATTATCCTGTTGGAAAAAGATTACATTAAGGAAAGTTTGAGACTACTAGGAGATGAACAGACATATAAAAAACTTAAAGGAGACCCTACTAATGAAATGAAAATCTCTTACATCAAATTAATAGATAAAAGGAAGATGTTCGGAATCTTAAATGCCAAAGAGTCCAAATTCTTGAGCGTTTTATACCCTAGGATACCCGTTTTTTTACTATCTCCCCAAGATCCATAAGAAAATAGAGATATTTCTCCTGGAATGCCTATAGTGTCTGGCATCGGCTCACTGTCTAGTAGACTCTCCCAATATATAGACAATCTGTGGTCCCAAGATGTCCCAGTTATCTTAAGGACACGTTAAGCATCTTACAAATTGTACAGAATGTACAGTGGGAGGAGGGCTACTACCTGGTTACAGCCGATGTCAGTTCACTATACACTATTATTTCCCATGATTTTGGCTGTAAAGCCTCTAGGTTCTTTCTGGAGGAGTTTAAGGAATTCCCCACAGACCAGATAGATTTTAGCATAGAAGGGATCCAATGGATCCTGAATAAAAATTATTTCTAGTTTGGGGAGAACTTTTACCTCCAAATCTGTGAGACGGCGATGGGCACTAGGTTCGCACCGAGATACGCTAACTTATTTATGTCTTTGTGGGAACACGAGCATGTGTACGCAAGGAGTGACTGGGATGCGAGCCTGGTTCTCTATTACATAGATGACATATTCCTTATATGGAAGGGAAATGAATCCTCTCTGATTTAAATACGAACAACTGGGGGGATTAAATAGTCAACTTTTTAGATCTATAGATATATGTTGAGGAAGGTTTAATCAAAACCTTCTTCAAGAAAGTAGACGTAATGTTTCCCCGTGGAAACTGATGAGGATTGCCCCCTTGGTGAGTATTACCAATTTTCAGTCAATCCAATGCTTTCCCATGGAAAATCGGCAAGGGGGCAGGCCAAACAGAACTTCCTCATAGATATGTATTAAATCAATGCATCAATATGAGGAAAATTCAGCGTCCCCATGCAGAGCGTGGAGACGCTTAACAGCACTGCTGCCTACTGTGCAGCACTGAGCCAGGAAGCACCTCCAGTGGTCATCATAGGAGTGACCACTTGGATGTGTAATGTAAACACTGCCTTTACTCTTGAATGATTCTACTCACCAGAACAACTACATTAAGCTGTAGTTGTTCTGGTGACTGTAGTGTCCCTTTAAGGACCGCAACACTATTGGAATATAGAAATCCCATGAACACCTCAGATGGGAATAAACTTGCTTTTATATGTGATTTTAATTTGTCAAAGTTACTAATTAAAAATTATTTTTAAACAGTATTGGCCCATTTTACAGAATGATACACTATTGAATAAAATTTTAACAGAGAAACCAATGATTACCTATAGAGGAGTACAGAGTTTGAAAGATAACGTAGTACGCAATCAGATCAGGAACCCAATTGGTAGTAAGAATGCTTTTAATGAATCTAATGGCTTTTATGGATGTGGCACCTGCTGAGAAAGCAGGTTCAAAAAAAGAGATGCGTTACATCATTCTCTAATCCCCAAACACAGGATAGCTTCCCGATTAAACAACTTATTACCTGCTATTCAAAAAAAATTTTTTTATTTAATTACATGCACTTGTGGTTTAGGGTATGTGGGTAGAACCACTAGGACCTTAAATGTGCAAAATCAGGAACATATAAGCAACGTCACAAATGGTGTTGAGAAACACAGCCTCTCGTCACATTTCAAACACCAGCACAACAGTGACCCTAAACAATTAGAATTCATGGGAATTCAAAAAGTGCAAATGAACTGGAGGGGGGACTACCCTATCAGGAAAATGGGACAAGAGATGAGGTGGATCTTCAAACACAATACTCTAACCCTTTTCTGCCTCAACAATGACTTTGAGATGTGCCACTTCTTATAAAATTAGCTTATATTCAAACTTGATCACGGAACAATAAATTAGAATACGAAATGAGGCTCACCCATAAATGATATTGTAAATTCATACCATTGTTTAGTATATATTTAACTGTATAAATGGAAGAAATATGGAATTTATGCAGATAGGATTGGGATGGTAAATATAACCTGCGTAAGAAGATTCCCCAATAATCTGTAAAATTATATATATATATATATATATATATATATATATATATATATTTTTTTTTTTTTTTGTGTGGGCGTACCCTCACCTTTTTAGCCTTAACTTTTTACAACAGTATTTTTAATGCATTATATTGTGTTCTTTTCCTCTTATTATGCGGAGAAATTATGTGGGCATTTCAAGTATTCCCTGGACTGTGATTGATGCTGCCCTATGACTTATTGCCATTTATATAGTGCCAACAGATTCCGTAGCTCTGACTTCTATCAAATCCTCTACCAACATGGCTATATCGGGCGGAACGGAAGTGCGTGTATAATAGCGCTACATCCTGCGAGTAAACCATATGCATGCCCGTAGATATTATGGGGATTTCCGCTTTGGAAATGACGCGGCATACCACTTCCGTTTTGGAGTTCCTGCGATAAGTGGGAGCAGCCGGCAAGAAAAACACCCCCCTAAATATTGGACTTCATTGGTTATAAAACTGAGGACCACCAATGAACTGGAAGACCGCCCGCCACATTTAAAGACAAACATTCAGAAACAGCATACCGATTGAAAAAGCCCCTTGAAAATGGCGAAATGCGTCTAAGATCTAGGAGCCTATAGTGGACATTTTTATAATGTTTTGCCTATATATTTTTTAATTTTGGTTTCATAATTTTTTTATCAAGTAATAAACACATTTCATTTTACGATTTGGGTTCTCCTATTGACTGCCTCCAAAAAGCGAGATGTCCCCTTTACAAACACCCAAGTGATTACACCCAGAGCCAGGTTCCAAAGGCTATGAACAAGGTGAGCAAGCATTTGCACTTTAAACTGCAGCACTTGGATCTTTCTATATACTACACCACAAGTGGTTTCTTTTGTGCCATTGGTCTTATTTTCTCAGGAACATTGCCGTGACCTAAATGGTCTAGTGCCACTAGAGCACTAATGCTGATGAGCCTGTCTGTTCTGAGGCTCTTATACTTATGCGAGTTGACACTATAGTCTTCACATGTTCCATTAACCACCACAGATTTATGCTATGTGATCTCCCTTTAATTTTCCCTTTTGTATGACCTTACATCAGCTGAACTTTGTCACTTAAGTCTGCAGAGGCACTTGCGCATACCTATTTACCCAAACCACTCAACACTCCACTCTTGAGGACAATAGCTTTTGGGCTTTTTTCCCTCCCACTTTTTCTTGTGCATGTTTTGGTGGGTGAGAGGGATTCTCACTAGAATGTTGTAGAGGTAGATTTACTTTATAACTAAAACATACAAAAGTGCCTTTATCTTACAGTTCTTAGTTTTGCTTTCCCCTGTTTAGTTGATTACTCCTTAATTTGGCACCCTTATGTTGTCATTTTTAATTATACCAACTTAGGGAGTTGGTATGTTTAGCACATAGCTCCCTTATTTGGAAATGGTATCCTTATGGCAATCCCACTAAGGATTTCAAAGTAGGAACTTGTCCACTATACAACTGGAATTCAGAGAAAAGGCAGTGTTTACATTACTGCCCATCAACACTTTTAGTTGCAGTTACTCAGACAGCCACTAGAGGTGCTTCCAGGGTCAGTGCTGAATGCTCCCCATAGAGATGCTGATTGGCACAGCACATTTTTCCCACACATGCACAATAACATCTTAAAGTTTTCCTATGGGAGAACATTGGAGTGAGTCAAATTTAAGTCAGACACATTTTAAATCAGATTTTTCCAAAGGAAGGCAAGGGGACGGGGTGGTGTCATACATCTAAGTGGTGATTTTACCATTAGAGTGTCATGAATACAGGTTGCTTTTTAATTTTGATAATTCGGCAGATAGCATATTAAAGTCATTTTGACACATTTTTCTTGTGTTGGCCAGAAACTAAACCCAGTGTTGCATACATAGGCAGAATATGCATAACGGGCGAAAAAACAAAAACAAAACATTGTACCATTATATGTAATATAAAGAGCTTTATTGAAAAATGAAATCTTTGACGTGACAGTTCACAAAGTAAATATTTACAATTTAGAGAATGGTGCATAAATTTAAAGCACTCGGCCAATGCTGCAAGGCTTGCAGCACGACAGGAAGAAACACACAAATGGACAAACATTAAAAAATAAAGAAGTGATTCACATCAGAACATCTGCAGTGTACAGGCTGAACAAGTGTAGGAGACTCTAAGAGCCAGTCTTAATCTGATTTGCAGGAAGGTTGGACTTATCTAAGTCACTGAAGTATGGATGCAGCAAAGCTTTTCTGGCAGAAATCCTCCTTGCAGGATCATATACAAGCATTTTCTGTAAATTAAACACAGAAACAATCAACCAAGACAGCTTTTAAAGGACCATATTGATTATGAAAGCACATTTATAAGAGCATCAAATTCCGCAATGCAATACAACAGGAGGACCAATGAGTTGGTTGCAGAGGAACATGGGAGGTTGATGGCCCTGCTCAAATGAGCTTACATGCTAGAGGGAGTAGGTTATAGGGACACAAAGGGCAAGGGTAGAAAGTAGGTTGCTAGTATAGTTCTTCGCTGGGGGCTTACGGGGTTTATTTTTGGATGACCATTGCAGGAAAGGAAGCAAGGTGTGGGGAGGGCATGCTATTAACAGTTTAATATGCTTTCCTGAAGTGGGTTTTCAATTTTTGTTGTTGAAGGAATAGAGAAAAACTAAGGGTTTTGAGGTCTCACTAGCAGACACCTGCTTGTATAGTGAGCAAAATTTATTTTTATGTCATAAAAGAACATTGATACAGTCTGTTATGGAACCTTAGTCTTGCAATAAGCTTCTATTGGACCAAAGCCACAAAGAAACACCAATACTTACAGCAAGCAAGTCAAGGCCATCCTTGTCAATGTTTTTCACACTAGCGGCCAAGTTTCCTCCTTTCCATTTTGGAAATGTGTTTTTGTAGTCTTGCAATGACTCTACTTCAGGCCAGATTTCATTGTTTGGTGTCCCCAGAGCTCTATAAAAAATAAAAATAAAAAATATGGACATCACACTAACCACAGGTTTTGGAAACATAACACTTACCTTTATAGTGTTGCTTCAGTTGCCCGGAAATGGTAAGTTATACAAACCTGAATATTCTGAAGAGCTGATCTATTTCAGAGTCTCCATGAAAGAGCGGTTTCTTTGTAGCAATCTCTGCAAATATGGTACCAATGCTCCACATATCAACAGGTGTGGAATATCGCACTGATCCAAGAAGCACTTCAGGAGCTCTGTACCACAGTGTTACCACCTGCAACATCAAGATACAAGTCATACTTTAGGTATGCTTATATGCAGCCATAATGAACAACAGCACGCACGTCAACTATACCTTCTGCTAGAAAATTACAGGAAGGAATCCAGTCCTGTTTCAAGGTGCATTAAAGGCTGCTGAACCCTTTACAAGAGTACTGAACTAGTGAGAACATTCATACCAAGATGTTGGCTGTAGAGTTAGACATACACAGCCATTTTTACCAGCAACCTTTAAGTTATTGAGGGCCGCTGTTAAGGCACTAAATCACATTATTCTGCCTTTTGTTTACTCGGTCTGGGGCTAAATATTCCAATAATGCCATTTTAACAGTGACTTCTCTGTACATACAGTCTATTAATATTTACAATAGATATGATTAATTTGTTTGGGCACAAAAGATTGTCTAATAAATTTTATATTACACATTTCCCCCCGCCCCCTCCTTTGTTCGTACACTGCACGAGCCCAGTGCATACTTTAACCTGAACACTATAACAAACACCACCATACCTGCTGCAAAAAAAACTAAATTTTCACCAAGTATTCCCACCCCATGCATTTATTTCTCCTTTTAGTAGTCATGTCAAAGTCTCCCTGTCAATTATCTTCACATTTCTATCATAGCTTGTGAGCTTACAATATAAAGGCCATCTTGCTTAGTACTAGCAGGATCCTCTATTCCTTTTGGATTGATTTGTCTATACTGTACAGCACTGCCAATATGTTAGCACAATAGTACATTGTTGATATTCCAGTAAACATCCACAAAAAATAAATAAATAAAATAAATAAAATAAAAATCAATAACAGGGTTATTCACCGAATTGCTACATATTCGGAATTTTAGGCCAAACTAAAGAGATCGTAGGTAGACTTTTCTTTACACCTATTCTGCTTTTGGGACCGGAAATATGAAATTCATTCTAAACCTCTGAGAAAGAAACTTTACAGGGTTTGTCATTAACCCTTTCAGGACGGAGTCAATAGTACACGTTCTGATCAAAACAAAACCTGGAATTTGCACTATATGTCTGTTCACCCGTAATTCACCTCTTTCATATTATGTACACCCACATTATATAATTTTGTTCAGGAGAAACAGGGCTTTAATTTCACATATGAAAAATTATGAAGAAAAATTTTTAAAAAAATTGGTAGTTCCGCCTCACATTTTAGCTGTAAATGTCATAATACGGTTGGCTTTTACTGCAAAAAGCGCCCATATTTGGATTCAGCAAAGTCTCACAAATACAACAGTAGCCCCCATTAACAGTTTTTACGGTGTTACAGGGTTAACTAGAGTGCTTGCAATTCAAATTCTCTGCACTTTCTGCCTGGGTGGTCAGGCATGTCAATCAAATTTTAATGAATTCAATCACATAATTATGTTGAAAGATTACTTAAATATACACGTAGAATTTTAACATATGTATTTAAAGTCTACATGAACACTTATGTAGTTATTTATGTAATGTAACACAGAGAGTCATTCTAAGTGTATTTTGAGATATAGAATATATATATAAATAATACACACATACCACAAAATACAGTTAGAATGAAATTACATATGTATATAATTTGTTATAATTTTTTATTTATATATGTAACGTCATTCTAAGTTTATTTTAATACCAAAATATACGTATATAAACATTAAAATACACTATGTATGACGTCACACATTGTTTATTTTAAAACAAGTTTAATAGAAACATAGAATGTGACGGCAGATAAGAACCATTCAGCCCATCTAGTCTGCCCAATTTTCTAAATACTTTCATTACTCCCTAGTCTTATCTTATAGTTAGGATAGCCTTATCCCACGCATGCTTAAACTCCTTTACTGTGTTAACCTCTACCACTTTAGCTGGAAGGCTATTCCATGCATCCACTACCCTCTCAGTAAAGTAATACTTCTGGATATTTTTAAACCTTTGTCCCTCTAATTTAAGACTATTAATCATTTATTTTTTACACTACCCACATTTTATAGACAGTCCCCCTGCTGGCAGATCCACAGCCAGATATAGGGGCCATGTGATCGCTGTTTGAGAGCGATCACATGGCCCGTGGTGGCCCGATTTGCTGTGGGAGGGCTGCCAGGCAATCCTCCCAAAGAAAACATTAATTTTAAGTCTTTAAAGTGACTACATTGGTAAAATAGGATTGCCATATTAAAAACACACTTATGTTGGCATACTAGAATTTATAGCAATAAGAGGGCAGAGAGGGATCAGCCATGTAATGCTTGGCTATGGAAAAGTTAGTAGCAGGAATCCATTGCAAGCACACCTACCTCATGTGTGTACACTCGAACAGGGATACCAAAGGCACGGGCCAGCCCAAAATCTGCCAGCTTGATTACCCCTTTGCTGTCTATTAAGAGATTCTGAGGCTTCAAGTCTCTGTGTAAAACTCTTCTTGAATGACAAAATACAATACCTTGCAGGATTTGATATAAATAACTCTAGAAGACAAAAAAAATTATTAAAGTTATGAAAAATCCACCCAAAGCAAATACAAAAACCACTGTATACCTACATTACCTGTAGTTAAAAATAAAAAATAAAAATTCATTGGTGCAGGGAGCATAATTGCAAATGTATGATCGAAAACAAGGTGTGTTTTAAAAGACGTTTAATGAAGTTAAAAACATAATATGAGCAGCTGTATAACTGAATATCCCAACATCCACAAAACCAAAAGTTGAATAAAAAAGTTAAATTTAAAAAACCCTCCATGTTTAGGTGATGAGCCCCACCACTTAAAACAAACAGAAATGTGCAGTGCCTCCTTAGGTGGCATCTACAGCCCTTTTCTGGGTTTGACTTAAATACAGTGTTTCTTCAATCTGTGGGTACATGCAAGTGAAAACAGAGGCAACGATCTAGGTGCAGACTAGATCAGGTGGGTACACATGTTGCACAGCAAGAAAATTGCTCACCTTCATAGGAACCTGTTTAATAACTGGCTCCCAAATATGAATTTAGTGTAAATTCAGGGTGACACTTCCCTGCAGCAACCAGGATGCGAGTTTTCAAACGATGAACACACAGAAATAAAATAATTTAATTCAATTTAAAGGGACACTAGTCACCCAGACCACTTCAGCTCAATGAAGTGGTCTTGGTGCAATGTCCCTCAGGTTTTAACCCTTCACATGTAGACAGTTTCAGAGAAACTGCTTTGTTTACAAAGCAGGGTTAAGCCCACCTCTAGTGGTGGTCTTCCTGAAATTCACATCTAGTGTGCTGAAAGTCCATAGGAAAACATTGAGTAATGCTTTCCTATGGAATGTTAGAATGCGCATGCGGCTCTTGCCGCACATGTGCATTCTGCTCCACTTGGAAGCTGGCGTCAGCGGGGGAGGAGAGGTCACCAGCACCGATGGACCCCGGCGCTGGATTAAGGTAAGTGGCTGAAGGGGTTTTAACCCCTTCAGCCCAGTGGGAAGGGGACCCTGAGAGTGAAGGTCCCCAAGGATTATATAGTGTCAGGGAAAAACAAGTGTTTTACATTATAGTGATCCTTTAAAATAAAAGTAGAGAATAAAAACCCGCTTAAAGGGACACTATAGTCACCTGAACAACTTTAGCTTAATGAAGCAGTTTTGGTGTATAGAACATGCCCCTGCAGCCTTACTGCTTAATCCTCTGCCATTTAGGAGTTAAATCCCTTTGTTTATGAACCATAGTCACACCTCCCTGCATGTGACTTGCACAGCCTTCCATAAACACTTCCTGTAAAGAGAGCCCTATTTAGGCTCTCTTTATTGCAAGTTCTGTTTAATTAAGATTTTCTTATCCCCTGCTATGTTAATAGCTTGCTAGACCCTGCAAGAGCCTCCTGTATGTGATTAAAGTTCAATTTAGAGATTGAGATACAATTATTTAAGGTAAATTACATCTGTTTGAAAGTGAAACCAGTTTTTTTTTCCCCATGCAGGCTCTGTCAATCATAGCCAGGGGAGGTGTGGCTAGGGCTGCATAAACAGAAACAAAGTGATTTAACTCCTAAATGACAGTGAATTGAGCAGTGAAATTGCAGGGGAATGATCTATACACTAAAACTGCTTTATTCAGCTAATGTAATTTAGGTGACTATAGTGTTCCTTTAAGTCATTTCTCCACGTAACAGTCCAAGATGAGTTTCGCAGATGTGGCTTTTTCAATTGGTATCGATGCAGTTTCTCGGTCCTAAAATGCTTGATGGCTCCTCAACTTTCGAACTGCCTATGGATGTCCTGTGTGTCAGCTGTTGAGGAGCCATCAAGCCTTTTAAAACAGGAACACGGAAACGTCATCGATACCAATTGAAAAACCCACATTGGCGAAACGTGTCTTTGACAGTTAGACGAAGGAAGGATTTAAGCGGGTTTTATTTGTTATATTTAAAAAAAATAAATTTATGATTATCTCCTCTTGTTTTATTTTAAATTCTTTTATATCAACCAAAGTCATTCCCCTTTTTATTCATAATTTGAAAACTCACATCCTGGTTCCTACAGGGAAGGGTCACCCTGAAAATGGAAATTAAATTCATATTTGGGAGCCAGTTATCAAACAGGCTCCTAAGAACGTGAGAAGTTTTCTTGCTGTGCATAATATGTACCTACCTGATGATCTTGTCTGCACCCAGATCGTTGAGTCTCCATTTGCATGTATTCATCAGTTGAACAAACTGTATTAAAACAAATGCAGAAAAAGGTTGCAGGTGCCACCATAAAGGCACTGAGGTGTTCAGTGTTTAGAGCCTTTATCGAAAGGGCTCTATTAAATGTGAGTTTTTCTAACACTCACTGTTGAAAAATATATACAGTATAGATTGATTTACAGTATTGTGCTATTTGTATATGTTCTGTTTTTCTTACATATTTATACCACACACATTTAGGGGTCAGTAAGAACTGTATTTAAAGCGTTGCACTTTTCGGTTTTAAGTGTACATATGAAGGTGGCTCACTGCATCATGTAAAGAATAACTGCTAATGTATTACCTTGTTGGCATCTTCAATATCACTAACTTTCAGTCATATCCTTGGTTGTGCGTTTGGCACACAAGCCTTAAAGGGGTTCTCCCACCCTTTTTAATGTCAAATAGAATAAACCCAATTGGCATTACACTATTGTCCACCCCATCCCCCACCAAACACTCAGAGCAATTTAAATGTAGCTCAGAGTGCGCATGTGCTCTGAGCCGGTGTAATCATCCAAAGGGGACAAGAGGGAGTAAATGGAGGTGGAAGGGCAGGGGGATTTATATATAAAAAAAAAAAAAAAAAATATATATATATATATATTTTTTTTTTTTTAAAGTGCTGGCATCTGTCAGCAGCAAGTGGTGTGCAAGGACGATACAAGTAAAATATGTACAGAATTGACATTAGGCAGCCAGAACAGTTCAGATCTGCCCAAGACATGTGCTGGGGCTACAACTTTTTTAGCCAAGTACATAATTTACAATAAGTCCATCTCTCCACCCCTCTCCCATTTACTTTGAAGAGAGATGGGTTTAAAGTTTCCTGAAGGTTCAAGAGACTGCAGCTACACTTTAACACCTAGAGGACTTTAAAGTGGCCAGGAATAATACATTCTCCTCCGAGAAAGACTTCTAGTTTCCTCTATGAATTGTTTTTCCCACTTAGCACCAATAATGTGTGAAAAGGATTGCTTGAAAGGATTTACACTTTCTTACCAAGCTGAGCTGACTACGGGTGAAACAGCCTAGGTGTCAAGTTATAATCTGGTCATTTAAAAAAAAAGGAGTGAATGTTTGGAGTTTACAACGGACTTTGAAGCATGTTACAAAATAAAAAAAGGTCTCTTGGCATTAAGTTCAAATCTAAAAATAAGCATGTACAAATATATAGACTTATTTAGGAAAGCAACAGATAAAGAAATAGCTTTCAAATATAAAAATCAGATTTACCTTAACAAGCATTGCATCTATAAATTGGCCACTGGGGATGGAATCTAAATATTTCTTCAAGTCCATGGAAAGAAATTCAAAAATAAGATACAGTCGAGAATCTTGCATTAGGACATCAAGTAAGCTGGAAAAAGGAACAAATTGAAAATGCTCACATCAAAAACAGTTTGAATCAATTTTCATTGTAAGACAAATATAGCAGGATGGATTTTTTTTTTATTTTATTTTTTTTTTTAACATCTTTAAAGCCTCATCAGAAGACATACCAACAGGGTTATGCATTTAAAGGGACACTATAGTCACCTGAACAATTTTAGCTTAATGAAGCAGTTTTGGTGTATAGAACATGCCCCTGCAGCCTCACTGCTCAATCCTCTGCCATTTAGGAGTTAAATCCCTTTGTTTATGAACCCTAGTCACACCTCCCTGCATGTGATTTGCACAGCCTTCCAAAAACACTTCCTGTAAAGAGAGCCCTATTTAGGCTTTCTTTATTGCAAGTTCTGTTTAATTAAGATTTTCTTATCCCCTGCTATGTTAATAGCTTGCTAGACCCTGCAAGAGCCTCCTGTATGTGATTAAAGTTCAATTTAGAGATTGAGATACAATTATTTAAGGTAAATTACATCTGTTTGAAAGTGAAACCAGTTTTTTTTTCATGCAGGCTCTGTCAATCATAGCCAGGGGAGGTGTGGCTATGGCTGCATAAACAGAAACAAAGTGATTTAACTCCTAAATGACAGTGAAATGAGCAGTGAAATTGCACAGGAATGATCTATACACTAAAACAGCTTTGTTTAGCTAAAGTTATTTAGGTGACTATAGTGTTCCTTTAATTGAGAATTCAATATTTTAGGTTGAAGTAGCCAAACTGGAAACAGACCACATCTTAGAGAATTTTTCCAAATGAACTATTCTGGCATAAATTTGAAATTCACATTAAATTCTCGTTTTATGGAATAACCTGTAAAATGGGCCAAGTTTAAAACCTACAAGATATTTGCCACCACAAATGCACATGAATACCAATTTGGTAACCACAAGGAATGTCCATACATGAGTAAAGGGTACACACATGCACAGCCTATTGGTGTTAAAGGATCAATATTTTATTAAAGACAGTGTGAGTGTTTGTGGCAGATAAGTGGGTGCAAGAAAGCAGATAAAAAAGGATTGTGAAGAGAGGGGAGAAGGGAAAAAACCAAAACAAAACACTTTAAGGTAAATAGGGAATTGTCCTTTCTGGTCAGTGTTCACAAGAACAGCAAATAAGCATAATATTACACAACACATTTTAGGGAAGAAGATTCTATGGGCTATGATATTCACAGCACCTACATAAAATGTGCTCTCAGTTACAAAAGGCTTCAAGGGGATACAGAAGGAAAATACTTTAGCCAAGTACACTGATCAAGGTAGACTGTCTGAAGTGACACGCAGTATCTGATCTACTTTAGGCACAAACTTTTCCAAGAAGAAAGTCAAAGTATTCAAATTTTCAGTGCTCATGAAAGTGTTACAAAAAAAACTTAATGAGACTTATATAGAAAACCTAGTACCGCGTTTCAGAAATACACATTTATTAATACTACGCTCCATATTAAATCGAGGGACAAAAAACCCAAACACTAAATATCTAGCAATCTGCCCCAGAGTAGTACCTGTTTAGCATTCAAATGGCTGCTCGCCCTCTTGCATTGATGAATACAGAGTATTCAGAATTCAAGATCAAACCTTAGTTTCAACAACATTTAAACTGGCTTTTAACCCCTTAAGGACCAAACTTCTGGAATAAAAGGGAATCATGACATGTCACACATGTCATGTGTCCTTAAGGGGTTAAAGGAAAATTAATGATAAATAAAATCCCTGTCATATTTGTTTGCTGTAGTTTGCTACATTACAAGCAAGGCACAACAACCTCATTTAAAATCATACAAGCAGAAAACAATACATACCACACTATATTAGGATGCTGCAGTTCTTTAAGTAGGGAGATTTCTCGGATTGCTGTACTGGGAACGCCTTCCTCCTCATTTTCCAGCCGAATTTTCTTCATGGCAACAACCTGCCCTGTAGCCTTATGCCGACCCTTATAGACAACTCCGTAGGTGCCTAAACAAGGTTGGGAAGACAAAAATACAGTAAATAAAATTTTATGCAAATCAACCGCCAAAAGGAATGGCATTACATCAGTGTTATTCACTGAAGTGTTGGGAGTTCAAACAAAGTAAATGTCAAATTTAAACACTATAATGCCAGGAAAACAAACTTGTTTTCCTGGCACTATAGGGTAATAAAGTCCCCTCCCCCTCCCGCTGGGCTGAAGGGGTTAAAACCCCTTCAGCCACTTACCTTAATCCAGCGCCGCGCTCCCTCAGCACTAGTGACCTTTCCTCCCCCTGCCGACGTCAGCTCTGAATGCGCATGCACATTCAAACTGCCCATAGGAAAGCATTACTCAGTGCTTTCTTATGGATGTCCAGCATGACTTCACTCTCCTGATTGCAGTGCCAATGTCCCTCTGCACGAGTCACGTTCCGATCTACCAGCCAGCAGGGGGAACAAATATATATGCGTGCAAGTGCATTAGGACTAGCCCATAAGAAAGCATTGAATTATGCACAAACGCACACTCACACACTTATTTGATTTAATGCAATTCTTTTCCACCAAGCATACCTACCTTTGGGAGAGCTCGAGTGGATCATTTTACTTGAGCTCCAATGAAGGCGGGCGGCCGGCCAGCCAGCCATACGCATTGTGTAGGTCGATAACAAGGGAATGGCGATTGCCTTGCCCGCTCATGCGCTGCTTAGTGTTGCTGGGGCCGGAATGACGGCATATTCCGGATCCGGCATCACTAAGCCTCAGAAGGAACAGGCTCGCAAATACCAGCTGAAGTGCCAGGAGCGGAAGAGGACCTGCATCGTGAAGGTGGCGACTGCGAGGTAGTCAAAGGTAAGTAAAACTCCCCATGCACCCCGCAGATCTGTCCGTTGACATATCTGCTTTAACCTTGCAATGTTATACATAGCAGGGTTAAAACAAATGGGGAGCTTCATTGAGTGGAAGAGGTCTGGAAGAGTATAGTGATCATTTAAGGCTTCATTCAGACATCAATTGACATCACTGTCATGGGAGATCAAAAATCGCAGTGCACGGCCAGGTACAGAGATTTTCTAGTGCAGTGAAGTTAAAACAGCCGCATTCCATGCATTATGACTTCCCTAGCTGTGTTTACATAAACCAGTCCTCAACAGGACCATTTACCTCTCCTAAAGACACTTACCCTCTCCAATTTTTTCGATTTTTGCATACTCATCCATGGCTGTGGATCTTTTGAAATATTCCTACAAAAAGAAAATATACATCAGTTACATCTAGTGACCTCCAAGTGTAATATTTACATATACTATATGTTACATGCATAAATTGAACCAAGGTACAATCAGTGCTTATCACCATCAAGATCTTAACAGTATATTGAGGACATTACAATGAGAAAAAAAAAAAAAAAAATCATATATGGGAAGAATGTATATCATGTCACTTTGGAGACATGGTCCATATGGCAATATATTGCTATAGTATTTGTAAGGGAAGAATCACCCAGTAAACAAGTAGGATAAAATATCCTGCACACAGTTTACAGATAAACTCACATACCATACAGCAATCTTTGTAAGTAAGGATCTGTCATCCCACTATAGTTGGCCACAAGGCAGAGCTGTAGTAATTCAGGCTGGCTTCTGACCGACTAATTTAATGAACTACACTTCTAATGATGCGCAGGCAGCATCCAATGAAATTCAGCTCAGGAACATCTAAGGTCAGGCACTACCCATCGCAGTGAGAATACAAAGTGAATTTCAACATTTAAAGCCAGGAATAGCCAAGAAGAAAAATATGCCTGACTTGATCATTTCCAGCCTGGCTATTTTGACTTTAAATCTGAGTCACCTTTAACTCTAAACCTTAGTGAATAACCCTGGAAGAATATCTTCAGCTAGACCAGGCTTCCCCAAACTCCAGCCCTCCACATGTTGCAGAACTACAACTCCCATGATTCTATGAATAAAATAGATAGGCTGAGAATCATGGGAGTTGTAGTTCAACAACATCTGGAGGGCCAGAGTTTGGGGGAAGCCTGAGCTAGACCCTTATGATGCCACAATAGCAGGGAAGAAGCCTTCTTCCTGTCCATCCTAATAAGCCTATATGAAGACATGACCTTTTCTCACAGGGACACTGGCCTATGAATACCATGCTGGAGTCCTACAATCCACTCAGACACACAGGGACAGTCCTATCTCTGTGTGATGGCCTCCTACCAGGCAAACTCAGGGCCTCCAGATGTTGCTGAACGACAACTCCCATGATCCTTTGAAGGAGACAGATAGCCAGAGGATGATGGGAGTTGTAGTTCAGCAACATGTATAGTTTGCAGAACCCTGAATCAGACATTATATATAACACACACATAGAATTTATGGGCTATAGATCACTTGCAGACAGGACTCCATGGTAACTGGGTGGCTAGTGATAGAAACAGGGCATTAACCCAGCTAGCAGACGGGCCCAGCGTGCTTACCACAGCGCAGAGCGAGGCTTCCTTCTGCTGGATGAGCTGCTTGCGAATGAAGCGATTTCAAACCAACCGCGCAAAGCGTCCAGGCCCCGGCCAATCACGGCCACGGTGGATATTCAAAAGCGGCCAATTAGCGGCGAGCCGTGATGACGGCGCGAAAGAGCAAGGAAAGGGCGGCGGAGGAATAAAGACGCGGCCGGGCGCGTACACGAAATGAGTCAAGTCACAGATTGACCCATAGGTTGTCTTTCACGGATGTCAGGAGAGAATGCTGCGGTCGGGTTTTTTTTTTCTTCAATGCAAAAAACAAAGTAAATAAAGAATGACGTATTAGCTGATCTGTTGGCAAGCAAAGAGAATAGGCTTATTGTTCTTGGAACATTTTATATCCAGGGCAGGGCTGGGCAGGTGTATGCAATTCACACAATTCTACACATTTTGTAAGGTTATAATTAAAGGACCACTATAATCACAGAGGACCACTTCAGCTCATTGAAGTGGTCTGGGTGCCAGGTCCCTCAGGTTTTAACCCTGCAGATGCAAACATAGCATGTTCTATGTTTACATTTGGGGTTAAGCCAGCCTCTAGTGGCTGTCTTCTGGACAGCCACTAGAGGCGCATCTGGGGCGCATTATACCTCCATCACACAGAGCGTCCATAGGAAACATTAAAACATGCTTTCCGATGGACACTTTGAATGCGAGCGCGGCACTTGCTGCGCATGCGCATTCGGCTCCGCTGACATCGTCAGAGGGAGCTGACGTCGGCGGGGGAGGAGAGGTCACCAGCGCCGAGGGACCCCGGCACTGGATTAAGGTAAGCTGCTGAAGGGGTTTTAACCCCTTTGGCGCTGAGGGTGGGGGCACTATAGTGTCAGGAAAACCGCTTTGTTTTCCTGACACTATAATGATCCTTTAATAAACTCTTATGATATCCAGAGTAATGTAATATGGGAGTTTGGTTAATTTTACTTACTTTGCTATTACTTTTTATTAAAGGTACAATTGTTACTGAATAAAATATTCTGTTTATTTATTGTTTGGGTTTGTCTTCCACCAAACTGAAGTAATGTAGGTGCAAATGCTTACCTCCAGTGTGTCCCAATTTAGTAGGGATAGTCCCTATTTGGGGCCCAAATCCCTCTTTTCTAAATCCCTCTTTTCTAGATCTCTCTTTTCTAGAAGCTACAGTGAAGGGGGAAAGTATTGGATCCCCTGCTGCTTTTGAATGTTTGCCCACTGACAAAGAAATTATCAGTCTATAATTTTAATGGTAGGTGTATTGTAACATCGAGAGACGGAATAAAAAAAAAAAAAAATCCAGAAAAACGCATGTCAAAAAAGTTAGAAATTGATTTGCACGTCAATGAGTGAAATAAGTATTTGATCTATCAGTATCAATCAGCCAGATTTCTGGCTCCCAGGTGTCTTTTTTACAGGTGTAACCCCTTTTTGCCCTGCTCCTGGCAACAAGCCGCAGTTAGCAGCAGTTACACCTTCTTCAGTCGCTGACTGGGATTCTGAGCGTCCGCTATAGTTGGGAGATCTGGATATCTTGTTCTGATGCAGTGCCTCCACTCAGTGCAGCTTCTATTTATGGGGGAACCCACCCCACTGAGTAGCTGAGTACCCTCCACTTAACCCCTTAAGGACTTAAGTTGTACAAGTTGTGATCAAAACAAAACCTAAACAAAACCTTGAATTTGCGCTATATGTTTGTTGAGGCGTAATTCACCTCTTTCATATTATGTACACCCACACATATCATATATAATTTTGTTCAAGAGAAATAGGGATTTTATGTCACATCAAATATTTGTATATTCAACATAATTTAATATGAAAAAAATATAAAAAAGAATTGAGAAATAAGGAAATGTTATTTTGTTTAGTTTTGCATGGCATTTTAACTGTGGATGTCACAATACTGTTAGCTGTTACTGCAATAAAGTACACATATTTGTATTCAGTGATGTCTCACTAGTAAAACAGTACCCCCAATGTACAGGTTTTATGGTGTTTTGAAAAGTTACAGGGTCAGATATAGCACATAAAATTTTTCAGTTTATATACCGTATTTTTCGCTCCATAAGACGCACCTCACCATAAGACGCACCTAGTTTTTAGAGGAGGAAACCCAGAAAAAAAAATATTCTGAACAAACTGTTCCATAGTGTTTCTTACCATGGGACAGTTTGTTCAGAATATTTTTTTTTCTCCCCTGTCCCATAATGATCTTTAACCCTGTCCCATAGTGATTGTTAACCCCTCCTACCCTGTCCCATAGTGATTGTTAACCCCTCCTACCCTGTCCCATAGTGTTCTTTAACTCCTCCTCCCCTTGTCCATTAGTGTTCTGATCCCATAGTGTCCCCCCTCCCATTGTCCCATAGTGCACTTTCCCTCCCATAGTGTCCCCCCCTGCCCTTGTCCCATAGTGTCTCCCCCTCCCCTTGTCCCATAGTGTCCCCCCTCCCCTTGTCCCATAGTGTCCCCCCCTCCCCTTGTCCCATAGTGTCTCCCCTCCCTTTCTCCCATAGTGTCCCCCTCCCCATGTCCCATAGTGTCTCCTCCCCTCCCCTTGTCCCATAGTGTCTCCTCCCCTCCCCTTCTCCCATAGTGTGTCCCCCTCCCCTTCTCCCATAGTGTGTCCCCCTCCCCTTCTCCCATAGTGTCTCCCCTCCCCTTGTCCCATAATGACTTACCTGTCTTGGAGCGTGGGCCGGCTTCACAGCGCGCTCCGCGGTCCAGGAACTTCTATTTCGGGTTCCGGTTTCCGGCGGGACTGAAAGGAAGTGTGCACACTGAGTGTGCACACTTCCTTTCAGTCCCGCCGGAAACCGGAACCTGAAATATTAGTTCCTGGACCGCGGAGCGCGCTGTGAAGCCGGCCCACGCTCCAAGACAGGTAAGTAAAGCTTTACATTCGCTCCATAAGACGCACAGACATTTCCCCTCACTTTTGAGGGGAAAAAAAGTGCGTCTTATGGAGCGAAAAATACGGTACATTGAAATTTGCCAGACTGGTTATGTTGCTTTTGAGACCAAATGGTAGCCCAAGAATGAAAATTATTCCAATGATGGCATACCATTTGCAAAAGTAGACAACCCAAGGTATTACAAATGGGGTATGTCCAGTCTTTTTTAGTAGCCACTTAGTCACAAACACTGGCCAAAATTAGCGTTCATATTTGTTGATTGTGAAAAATGCAAAAAAACTAAATTGAAAGCTAATTTTGGCCAGTGTTTGTGACTAAGTGGCTACTAAAAAAGACTGGACATACCCAATTTGCAATACCTTGGGTTGTCTACTTTTGCAAATGGTATGCCATCATGGGGGTAATTCTCACTCCTGGGCTACCATATGGTCTCAAATGAAACATAACCAATCTGGCAAATTTAATGTGAAAAAAAAGGAAATTCAAGCCTTATTTGACACAGTAACTTTTGAAAACACTACAAAACCTGTACATGGGGGGTACTGTTATACTCTGGAGACTTTGCTGAACACAAATATTAGTGTTTCAAAATAGTAAAACGTATTACAACAATTATATCGTCAGTGAAAGTATAGTTTGTGTGTGAAAAATGCAAAAGACTGCATTTTTAATGACAATATCATCATTGTGATAGGTTTTACTGTTTTTAAACACCAATATTTGTGTTCAGCGAAGTCTCCCAAGTACAACAGTACCCCTCATGTACAGGTTTTATGGTGTCCTGGAAAGTTACAGGGTTAAATATAGAGCTTGCAAGCCAAATTCTCTGGACTTTCTGCCTGGGTTGTCGGGCAGGTCCCCCAGATTGTTATTAACAAAATGAATTAATTATGTAAAAATATTATATAAATATATTTGTAAAATGTAAATATATATGTATATGTATATATATGTATATATATATTGTTTTATTATTTTTATTTATAGATAGATAGATATATGTATTTATAACATCATTCTAAATGTATTTTGAATTTAATATATATGTATATTAATATCAAAATACAGTTAGAGCAAATTAAAACTGGTATATAATTTTTTAATTTTTTTAATTTTTTTAATTTTATTTATTTATTTTTGTTTTTCAATTTATTTATTGGTTATTTTTATTATATATATATATATATATATATATATACGATACCAGTAGAGAGCACACAGGAGTCTTTCAAAGTAAATTTCATCTGTTGCTTTATCGAGTAATTACAAATTCACACAACGTTCCAATCGACATTTCAGTCTGTGAAAGACTTTTTTCAAGACAATTGTGTATGTGAGATGGATACCTTATATACAAAAAAATGCAGTGATCCTATCTGAGGGTGAACAGGTGAAAGGTAACAATGGATCAGAGTGATGTCATTAATGACTTAAACATGTTTAAATTACGTAATAAATTGAAGTTAACCCTATGTGTAACTGGTATGTGAAACATACTCTCGTGTAGATAAGTCAGAAAGTAATAAAGATAAATAACTATAAAAATAAAGTATATACAAATGTTTCAACCCTAACCAAAGGAACATAGATACATTGTACTTATCATCATTAGCTAAATATTAGCTCAGTTATATAGCAAAATATTGTCAGTGTAATTCTGAAGCAATATGCGATATGGACTACTTACATCATAGGCAAATAACTGTACTATAGTAATGCATTCTGTAAAACCTAGCTCAATCATATATTATCTTCTAGGTAAAAAAACAATATAATGAGTTCTTCTCAGTTAAACCAGATGGTGATAATGTTTCCAACGTGTATATCCAGAAAGCCTCACGTCTGAGTAACGGGTTATCACGATCTCCTCCTCTGGGTGAGATGGGTATGTGATCTATTCGCCCGGCTGTCATCTGAGTTATTGCGCAATACTCTTATGAATTGGGAGATAGGCAGTGACTCTTTTAGTTTTCTAGGATGGAAACTTGTTAAATGCAGAATAGTGTTCCTATCCGTTGATTTAGAAAACAAAGTATAGCCCAAGCGATTGCCTGTGATGAAAATTTGTAGATCCAGGAAATTGATATTAGTCATACTCAACTGGTAAGTGAATCTCACAGGTGTAGGAAGTGAATTCAGTGTGTGCATCATGTTAACAAACTTTTCCTTTCCACCAGTCCATAGAAGAAGGACGTCATCTATAAAGC